GGAGCCTCTGTCGGAGGAAACTCGGAGGAGTGAGGGGCAGCGCGCTGCCGCCCCTCGACGCAGGGAACGCAGGTGGGGGCAGGCCCCGGAGGAAGGGGAGGGAGGGACCGGGGGAGGCCAGAGACAAGAAGACGGGAAGCCATGCCTCGAAGACGAGGCAAGGAGGGGTGACCAAGGCGGTGGTGCCAGAGGAGAGTCCGGTGGGACAGGAGACGACACGAGCAGGGGGCAGACTCAGGACCAGACCTGGACGCCGCAGCAAACACCTGACCCGACGCTGCTACCTGAGCAGACTCAGTGACTGGAGGAGACTCAGTAGTCAGTGTGTACAGGCTCGACCCCGGCCGACGGGTAAACGTGGCCAAGTGTCGGCCCGTGTCTGCACACGTGCAGTGAGTCACCCGCTGACGAGCAGGGGTGAACTGGTCAACCCCCCCATCCTGTAGGTCAGCACCCGCCACCAAGTTCGTAGAGAACGAGGGGAGGTAAAGACCCGACAGGGAGCCAGACGGGACCGCTGGACACGGTAGGACAGTGGAGTAGTGGGCAAGGACAGGACCCCCAGAGGGGTCTGCCAGGGAGACTGCAACGGGCCGACTGAGTGGCGTGAGAGTGGTGCAGTCTCGAAAGAAGGAGCGGGAAGCACCCGAGTCAAGGGTGAAGGTGTGGGTGTCCGGAGATGATGCAGTACCTGAGAGCGCAGACTCATTGGCACCTGGGGCGGCAGACGCACTGGCACCTAGAGCAGCAGCCTCACAAGTACCTAGCGCAGCAGCCTCACAAGTACCTAGCGCAGCAGCCTCTATGCCTGGGTCAGGCGGAAAACACCGGTAACAGTCACCCTCATCACTAATAGTCACAGCATACATGGCAGCAAGAATAGCATCATAATCAAGATCAAAGATCGCAACACCCGCCCTAGACAGCTCGCCCCAGCGAGGGATCTCAGTAGCGTCGGGGAACTGGTGACGCCACGCGTCCGTCAGACGGCCGAAGCAGCGCTGGGTGGAGTGCGCTCCCCCACACTGCTCACCCACTCGGTCGCTGGTACGGAGAACGTAGGTACAGGGGCCAGCACCCCCGCCCCGCTGACGAGCAGTGTACCACTCACGAAGCTACTGTGGGGGGGGGATCTCACGAGCGCGCTGCTGCTGCTGCTGGCGCTGACCACCACCGGAGCCAACCCTCTGTGCAGCGCCACCCCGACCAGCTCCACCTCCTCCGCCGCTACCTCCGCCACCGCCGCCACCTCCGCCACCGCCACCTCCGCCTCCGCCTCCACTGCCGCCACTGACGCCCCCACCCCCGCCACCACCCCCACCGCCACCCCCACCCCCTCCACCACCTCCACCTCCGCCTCCACCGCCCCCGCCAGCTCCTCCAGCACCCTTGCCCCCCTTGCCCTTGCCAGGGCGGCGTCTCCCGCTAGGGGCAGACGCCGCAGCGACCGACTCAAGACCAACGAGGTCGGCCGCAGCAGCAGAGGCAACAGAGGGCAGGAGGGGAGAGGGGGAGCACCCCTCAAAGACAGGGGTACGAGGGTCACCACGAGAGGCTCCTACAGCGACTATGCTCTTCTCTGCCGCTAGAAGGCGCTCCTCGAGGAGGTCAACGGTGAGGGTGGTGGGGCAAACAGAGAGGAAGTGGTCCCTAACCGGGCGAAGGGTGTCAGGGAGCCGGGTGACTATGTAGTAGAGGGTGATGTACATGGGGGGGGGGGGTTCTTGGCGCAGAACTCAGCAGGAAGCGCAGCGCGGTAGCGAGTGTCACTAGTGCGAAGGTGCGTAATGAGGTCAGCGACAGTGGGAAAAGCGGCGAGGTCAGGGAAGAGGTACGGTAGGATGAGGCGGCTAAGTGCAGCAGTGGCAGGGGAAGAGTAGCGCGCAACTACAGCGTCGTACAAGGTCTTAGCACTCTTGTACTGGCTAAAGTGCGCACGCTCAGCGGTCGGCAAGTGGCGGCGCACAGCAAGGCGGGCAGCAGCATCGCGCGTGGCCCACTGTGAGCGAACAGTGGCGTCAGCATCAGCAGCAGGTGCAGGAGAGGCACCAGAAGTGAGGTCAAAGAGGGAGAGACCGTCTGCCCTATCGCTCAGCAGGAAAAGCTGCAGGTCATCTACCCAGACGTCAAAGTCAATGGCCCGACCCTCAGCATCAAAAGTGAGGACACTAGGGGTAGCCATGACAGCAGTAGACTAGCAGCGCGAGCAGCAGGCAAGGGCAGTGCAGTGGTGGAGGCGCTGCTCTTACCGGGCAGGCGAGAAGGACCGAGGCTCGCCGGCAGGAACAGGGCCGCGACGGCAGTAACGGCGGCTCGGCGGCTCGGCGGCAACGGCGGCAACGGCGACGACGGCTGCTCGGCGGCAACAGCGGCAACGGCGGCACAGCGGCTCGGCAGCTCGGCGGCAACGGCGGCAACGGCTGCTCGGCGGCAATGGCGGCTCGGCGGCCCAGCAGCTCGGCGGCAACGGCGGCTCGGCGGCGTCGGCGGCTCGTTGGTGACGGCGGGGCCGTGAAGGGCGGCAGGGCCGCTGAAGGGACGGCGGCAGGGCTGCTGAAGGGCGGCGGCGGGGCCACGAAGGGTGGCGACCGGGCCGCGGAGGTGTGGCGACGGGGCCGCGAAGGGCGGCGCCGGGGTCGCACGGGTGTGGCGACGGGGCCGCGAAGGGCGGCGGTGGGGTCGCGGGCGGCTGCGACGAAGCCGCGAGGGGGGGCGGCGCCGGGGCCGCGAGTGTGGGGCCGCGGGGTCGCGAGGGTAGGGCGACGGGGCCAGCAGTGGCGGCGCCGGGGCCGGTAAGAGCGGCGCCGGGGCCGCGAGGGTGGGGCGACGGGGCCGCGAGGGCGGCGAGAAGGGGCCGCGAGGGCGGCGCGAAGGGGCCGCAAGGGCGGCGCGACGGGGCCGCGAGGGCGGCGTGACGAGGCCGCAAGGGCGGCGCGGCGGGGCCGCAAGGGCGGCGCGACGGGGCCGCTAGGGGCCGTGAGAGGGGAGCGCGACTCGGGCAGGGGCTGAGGGCGCTCCGGGCAGGAAAAAAAAACACGGTGGGCCCTAGGAACTTGTACCCACGAGGGAACTTGCTCGATACCATGTGAACACTAGAACGAGAATGATTGCATTGAGCAGCATGAGGAGTACAAGTACCAAACCCTAAAGTGTTGTACCCCATATGAGCTACCCCACTACAGCCTACACAGACTATAGTGTATGAGTTTAACACCCTCTGCCCAGTCTTGCTGGGGAATGCCGATCGAGGCACACCACAAGGTGTAGAGGGTTGCAGCCACTCTGGCCGCATAGACCGCGGAAGAAACACTTGTGGGGGCCGGCACCACTCCAGCTCCTCCGTGTACCAGGGCCTGCCCAATCCCCGTGCAAACAGCTACCTGGAAATGCGCGCCTTCTTTGATCCGAGCGTGTGCTTTATTCATCACGTTGTTGAAGCTGCACAGGAGGGGTGGTTGAGGTTAGTCGGGGAAATCTCGAAAATTTACATAAAGCTGCTGATAAAAATCAAACACTCACTTTTCGAACTTGTCCAGGTTCAATTCGTTCATTACACTCCAGACACCTGTCGGGAGTTCACGAGCGAATTCGAGGTGAACCGCCCACCCTCCAACCTCGACAGGATCCAAGCCGTAATTTTCCATGTCGGTGTCGGGGAAATAGACCATCCAACAGACGGCCACTGTGAAATCGCGTAGTTTCCGCTCCTTGTAGCTCCCCATGTTCCTCTTCACACCTCCGACGGTTTGCTCCGAGTTGTAGCGCACGGATAACAGTTCCCCCTTCTTGTTCTTCTTTTCGCGTGTAGTAAGACCGCTCGATTTGAAATGCCTTGTTTCCCCCCATCGCTTCCCTAGCTCGTCTGGTTGCACGTCCGTTCTTCGCTGTGCCACCTCTCCGGTCGCCTCTCCCAACGTGGGTTGAAAGTTCTGATTTCCCGACACATTTTCACCGACATCCTCTGACGCACCCGCCCCCAAAGACCCCTCATCTACGTCGTTTGTTCCTGTCTGGTCAACGCGAGGCCTTTTCGATGGCGGTTGAGTCTCTGAATCTCCTTGGCCTGTTAGATGTACTGAACCCTCCCCCTCCTCCACCAGGTCCACTGCTTGCAGTGGTTCTTCGGGAACTAGCGAAATCACTTTAAGAATCCCGACCCACCCTTCTTCCGCCTCTCCTCCCTGCTGTTGCTCCGCTGCCCCCTCCACATCCTCAACCGCAATCAGTCGCCTCTCGTTTTCCATTTTCTCTGTTTCTGCCTCCAACACCAATTGTTGCCTCTCCTCTTCCTCCTTTGCGGCTTCCTTCAACTGTGCAATACGCTCGATCTCCTCCAGGGCTTTCTGACGCTTGATTTCAAGGTCTCTTTTTCGCTTTGCTGCCTCCAACCGCTTTGTTTCAGCAACCTTCGCAATCTGCTCACGCTTTGCTTCTAACTCCGTCTCCCTCTGTGCCCGTCTCCTCTCCATCGCCTTAGCGTGCTCCTCCTTCTGCCGCTTCTCCTCCTTTTCGCGTTCCGCCTTCCTCGCCTCCTCCCTCTTCCGCTCTTCCTCCTCCCTCTGCCGCTTCTCCTCCTTTTCGCGTTCCGCCTTCCTCGCCTCCTCCCTCTTCCGCTCTTCCTCTTCCTTTTGCCGCTTCTCCTCCATTTCGCTTTCCACCTTCCTCTACTCCTCCCTCTTCCGCTCTTCCACTTCCCTCTGCCGCTTCTCCTCCATTTCGCGTTCCACCTTCCTCTACTCCTCCCTCTTCCGCTCTTCCACTTCCCTCTGCCGCTTCTCCTCCTTTTCGTGTTCCACCTTCCCCTACTCCTCCCTCTTCCGCTCTTCCACTTCCCTCTGCCGCTTCTCCTTCTTTTCGCGTTCAACCTTCCTCGCCTCCTGCTCTTCCTCTTTCTTTTGCCGCTTCTCCTCCATTTCGCGTTCCACCTTCCTCTACTCCTCCCTCTTCCGCTCTTCCACTTCCCTCTGCCGCTTCTCCTCCATTTCGCGTTCCACCTTCCCCTACTCCTCCCTCTTCCGCTCTTCCACTTCCCTCTGCCGCTTCTCCTTCTTTTCGCGTTCAACCTTCCTCTCCTCCTCCCTCTTCCGCTCTTCCACTTCCCTCTGCCGCTTCTCCTCCTTTTTGCCTTCAACCTTCCTCTCCTCCTCCCTCTTCCGCTCTTCCTCCTCCCTCTGCCGTTTCTCCTCCTGTTCGCGTTCAACCTTCCTCGCCTCCTCCCTCTTCCGCTCTTCCTCTTCCTTTTGCTGCTTCTCCTCCTGTTCGCGTTCAACTTTCCTCGCCTCCTCCCTCTTCCGCTCTTCCTCTTCGTTTTGCCGCTTCTCCTCCTTTTCGCGTTCAACCTTCCTCGCCTCCTCCCTCTTCCGCTCTTCCTCCTCCCTCTGCCGCTTCTCCTCCTTTTCGCGTTCAACCTTCCTCGCCTCCTCCCTCTTCCGCTCTTCCTCTTCCTTTTGCCGCTTCTTCTCCTTTTCGCGTTCAACCTTCCTCGCCTCCTCCCTCTTCCGCTCTTCATCTTCCTTTTGCCGCTTCTCCTCCTTTTCGCGTTCAACCTTCCTCGCCTCCTCCCTCTTCCGCTCGTCATCCTCTCTCTGCCGCTTCTCCTCCTTTTCGCATTCAACCTTCCTCGCCTCCTCCCTCTTCCGCTCTTCCTCTTCCTTTTGCCGCTTCTCCTCCTGTTCGCGTTCAACTTTCCTCGCCTCCTCCCTCTTCCACTCTTCCTCCTGCCTCTGCCGCTTCTCCTCCTTTTCGCGTTCAACCTTCCTCGCCTCCTCCCTCTTCCGCTCTTCCTCTTCCTTTTGCCGCTTCTCCTCCTTTTCGCGTTCAACCTTCCTCGCCTCCTCCCTCTTCCGCTCTTCATCTTCCTTTTGCCGCTTCTCCTCCTTTTCGCGTTCAACCTTCCTCGCCTCCTCCCTCTTCCGCTCTTCCTCTTCCTTTTGCTGCTTCTCCTCCTTTTCGCGTTCAACCTTCCGCGCCTCCTCCCTCTTCCGCTCTTCATCTTCCTTTTGCCGCTTCTCCTCCTTTTCGCGTTCAACCTTCCTCGCCTCCTCCCTCTTCCGCTCGTCATCCTCTCTCTGCCGCTTCTCCCCCTTTTCGCGTTCAACCTTCCTCGCCTCCTGCTCTTCATCTTCCTTTTGCCGCTTCTCCTCCATTTCGCATTCCACCTTCCTCTACTCCTCCCTCTTCCGCTCTTCCACTTCCCTCTGCCGCTTCTCCTCCATTTTGCGTTCCACCTTCCCCTACTCCTCCCTCTTCCGCTCTTCCACTTCCCTCTGCCGCTTCTCCTCCTTTTCGCGTTCAACCTTCCTCTCCTCCTCCCTCTTCCGCTCTTCCACTTCCCTCTGCCGCTTCTCCTCCATTTCGCGTTCCACCTTCCCCTACTCCTCCCTCTTCCGCTCTTCCACTTCCCTCTGCCGCTTCTCCTCCTTTTCGCGTTCAACCTTCCTCTCCTCCTCCCTCTTCCGCTCTTCCACTTCCCTCTGCCGCTTCTCCTCCTTTTTGCGTTCAACCTTCCCCTCCTCCTCCCTCTTCCGCTCTTCCTCCTCCCTCTGCCGTTTCTCCTCCTGTTCGCGTTCAACCTTCCTCGCCTCCTCCCTCTTCCGCTCTTCCTCTTCCTTTTGCTGCTTCTCCTCCTGTTCGCGTTCAACTTTCCTCGCCTCCTCCCTCTTCCGCTCTTCCTCTTCGTTTTGCCGCTTCTCCTCCTTTTCGCGTTCAACCTTTCTCGCCTCCTCCCTCTTCCGCTCGTCGTCCTCCCTCTGCCGCTTCTCCTCCTTTTCGCATTCAACCTTCTTCGCCTCCTCCCTCTTCCGCTCTTCCTCCTCCCTCTGCCGCTTCTCCTCCTTTTCGCGTTCAACCTTCCTCGCCTCCTCCCTCTTCCGCTCTTCCTCTTCCTTTTGCCGCTTCTCCTCCTTTTCGCGTTCAACCTTCCTCGCCTCCTCCCTCTTCTGCTCGTCATCTTCCTTTTGCCGCTTCTCCTCCTTTTCGCGTTCAACCTTCCTCGCCTCCTCCCTCTTCCGCTCGTCATCCTCTCTCTGCCGCTTCTCCTCCTTTTCGCGTTCAACCTTCCTCGCCTCCTCCCTCTTCCGCTCTTCCTCCTGCCTCTGAGTCGCCTCCTCCTTTTCACGTTCCACCTTCCTCGCCTCCTCCCTCTTGCGCTCTTCCTCCTGCCTCTGCCTCTTCTCCTCCAGTTCGCGTTCCACCTTTCTCGCCTCCTCCCTCTTCTGCTCTTCCTCCTCCCTCTGCCGATTCTCCTCATTTTCGCGCTCCACTTTCCTCTGCTCCTCACTCTGCCGCTCCTCCTCTCTCCGCCAGTTCTCCTTTTTGTGTTCCACGTTCCTTGCCTCTGCAGCTGTACCCGCCGGTTGGTTTGCCGTCGCTCTCCCGCTGCTAACAGTCCCAGGCCGGTCCTCCACCCTCGTATTTCCCAACCCCCTCTCAGCCCGCCTCTTCTTTGCAGCCGTCACTTGCGCCGTCTGAAGTGCTTGCCGCTTCCGCGCTTCAGCCGTCCTCCTCTCCTCGCTCTCCTCCTCTTTCCGCAAAATCTTTGCTGGAAACGTTTCTCTCCAGTTTCTCCTCACTGGTTCAGACAAGTCAACATCTACCACACCAGCGCCGGCCTCACCCGCCTCACCAGCGTCACCCGCCTCACCCTCGGACGTCGCGGCAAACCTTTCCATGACTCGTTGTGCTGCGGAGATTGGGATGTCCGGGGAATCTGCTTCGGCCTGCGTTCGCGAAGGCTTTGGTGTGGCCTCTGCCCTGGCGGCGGGTGGATTTCGGACCTTGATGGGTTTAGTCAGCCCTTTGAGCTTTGTTGATAGTCCCGCCAGAGCCTTCTGAATCTTGTTGAAAGTCAGATTGTTTTGGTCGTCCGTAGTTCTGAGATCCTCCCACACCGTGTACACACTATTGTCAATAGTCGCTTGCAGGTGTTTCATGGAGCTGGATGTGATCGTGGCCTCCAGCGACGATTGCTCTATCGCCTGCTCCACCACACTCTTCAGCTTCTCCCCAAAGGTCTCGAAAAACCCCACTAACTTAACCTGCAATGCTCCAACAGCCGCTGCTGCAGCTGCGCGACCCGCATCAGCTGCTGCCGCTCGTGCTTCGGCGACAGACGTCGAAAGAGCAGTACGCAATCGAGTTAGCTCGTCGCGTTCCCGGACCACGTCAGCCTTGAGCTCGTGGTACTCGTGCGTTAAATCATCGTAGTCCTGCAAGTAGCGCGTGTCCCAACCCTGCATCTGCAAACCGAACTCGTGAATCTCTGCCATGCAGTCGCTGAAACGAACACGTTGCTTCGACGAAGTCCTGGCCACGGACCTTGCCACTAATGTCAGACGCCGCATTAATTCTGTTGCGGTATGCACCCTGCCGCCAGCTGCGATGCGTTCGCCAGCCTCCTCAAATCCTCGCTCCGTCTCCTCGAAAACCTGGGGCCCCGTATTCTCCAGTCCATGCAGTTGCGTCTCCACAGCCACCCATTCTCCATCCTCTAGTTCCTCTGCCTGCACCACAGCAGGACCCTCGGCAGCACGTGGATGGCGCCTCTGCATAGGGAGCGCACTCGCCGCACTTTCTATTTCCTCCTCCACCCGTCCTCCCGCCTGTCTCTGCTGATTCTCCCTTTGTCGCACTCCCTCTATTCCCCATCCAACCCCACGCAAGACTTGATCCTCCGCCATTCTCTCACCCTGGTGGGTTCCACGCGCTTCACCCTCTCGCCTACCAGCTTGCCTTGACTTCTCGACCCTCCTACGGTCTCCATCGCCGACCCTGTTCCGAGCTGTTTGATCATCACGCCAACCACCTTCCCGCTGCATCACCGCTCTCATTCCGCCAGTTCTCAACTCCGGTAAACCAACATCCGCTGCCCGCCCCACTGCGTTTGAAAGACTCTCGCGCCCCTATGGCCCTCGCTCGTGTGACGTGTTCCATCCCCACGCCGCTGCCCCCCAGCACCTTGTTCATTCAACCCAGCAACCTCCCTCTGCCTTTCGTGCCTTTCGTGCTCATTCTCCACCCGTCTATCCCTCTGAGGCTCCAGACCCTGATGCTCACCGGCTGCCTCCGTCTGTCTTGCCACTAGCCTTTCACGCTCAAGCCTTTGAAATTCTTTCCTTCTGCGTTCGCTTTCGGTCTTCTTCCGTTCCCGTTCTCGCTCCCCGGTCTCGGCCACCAGCCTCTTTCGCTCTCGCTCCTCATCCCTCGCCTCCTTTTCGCGCTTTTCTCGCTCCTTTGCCTCCAGCCTCTTCCGCTCCCGTTCGTCCGCCCTCCTCCGCTCTTCCTCTCCCTTTTGTCGGTTCTCCTTTTCGCGCTCCACCTTTTTCTCCGTTCGTCCGCCCTCCTCTTACGCTCTTCCGCCTCCCTCTGTCGTTTCTCCTCCTTTTCGCGCTCCACCTTCCTCGCCTCCTCCAACTTCCGCTCTTCATCCTCTCTCTGCCGCTTCTCCTCCTTTTCGCGCTCAGCCTTTCTCTCCTCCTCCCTCTTCTACTGTTCCTCCTCCCTCTGCCGATTTTCCTCCTGTTCGCGCGCCACCTTTTTCTTCTCCTCCCTCAACCGCTCTTCATCCTCTCTCTGCCGCTTCTCCTCCCGTTCGCGCTCAGCCTTCTTCTCCTCCTCCCTCTTACGCTCTTCCTCCTTCTGCCGCTTCTCCTCCTTTTCTTCCTCATCCGTTTTCTCCTCCTCCTTCTTCCGCTCTTCCGCCTCCCTCTGTCGTTTCTCCTCCTTTTCGCGCTCCACCTTCCTCGCCTCCTCCCTCTTCCGCTCTTCATCCTCTCTCTGCCGCTTCTCCTCCTTTTTGCGCTCAGCCTTTCTCTCCTTCTCCCTCTTCCGCTGTTCCTCCTCCCTCTGCCGATTCTCCTCCTGTTCGCGCGCCACCTTTTTCTCCTCCCTCAACCGCTCTTCATCCTCTCTCTGCCGCTTCTCCTCCTGTTCGCGCTCAGCCTTCTTCTCCTCCTCCCTCTTACGCTCTTCCTCCTTCTGCCGCTTCTCCCTTTCTTCTTCATCCTTTTTCTCCTCCTCCCTCTTCCACTCGTCCGCCTCCCTCTGTCGCTTCTCCTCCTTTTCGCGCTCCACCTTCTTATCCTCCTTATTCCGCTCTTCCTCCTCCCTCTGCCGCTTCTCCTCCTGTTCGCGCTCAGCCCTTATCTCCTCCTCCCTCATCCGCTCTTCCGCCTCCCTCTGTCGTTTCTCCTCCTTTTCGCGCTCCACCTTCCTCGCCTCCTCCCTCTTCCGCTCTTCATCCTCTCTCTGCCGCTTCTCCTCCTATTCGCGCTCAGCCTTCTTCTCCTCCTCCCTCTTACGCTCTTCCTCCTTCTGCCGCTTCTCCTCCTTTTCTTCCTCATCCTTTTTCTCCTCCTCCCTCATCCACTCTTCCGCCTCCCTCTGCCGCTTCTCCTCCTTTTCGCGCTCCACCTTCCTCGCCTCCTCCCTCTTCCGCTCTTCCTCCTCCCTCTGCCGCTTCTCCTCCTTTTCGCGCTCAGCCTTTCTCTCCTCCCTCTCCCGCTCTTCCTCCTCCCTCTGTCGCTTCTCCTCCTATTCGCGCGCCACCTTTTTCTCCTCCCTCTTCCGCTCTTCATCCTCTCTCTGCCGCTTATCCTCCTGTTCGCACTCAGCCTTCTTCTCCTCCTCCCTCTTCCGCTCCTCCTCCTCCCTCTGTCGCTTCTCCTCCTGTTCGCGCTCAGACTTCCTCTCCTCCTCCCTCTTCCGCTCTTCCTCCTCCCTCTGCCGCTTTTCCTCCTTTTTGCGCCACACCTTCCTCACCTCCTCCCTCTTACGCTCTTCCTCCTCCCTCTGCCTATTCTCCTCCTTTTCGCGGTCCACCTTCCTCGCCTCCTCCCTCTTCCTCTCGTCTTCTTCCCTTTGCTGCAAGTCCCCCTTTTCGCGCTCCACATTCCTCTCTTCCTCCCTCTCATTTTCTTCCTCCCTCTTCCGCTCCCGTTCCTCCCTCTCTCTGTCCCCATCCATCTCACGCACCTCTCGCTCCTCGTCCTCAAGCATCATACGCTTCTATTCCACCCTCTGATTCGCCTCTTCCTCCTCGCGTGCTTCCCGCCCCTTATTTGTTCTTGCCTCCCGCCTCCGATACACCACCCTATTCTCGCGTTCCGCTCTCTGCACCTCTTCCTCCAATTCGCCTACGACATTCAGACTCCCCTGCCTTATGTCCAAACCCTGCCCATGCTGTTCATTCTCGACCGGGAGGTGCACTGCCTCAAAAGCCCTAGCTAACTCCTCCATCCTCTCCCCCCTCTACCTCTGTTGTAGGGCCTCCGATCCACAACGCTAGGTCTCGTCCTCTGATGCCCTCTGCTGCGCCTCCCTCATTCCACGCAAGATCTCGCGCGCACTCTGAACAGGTGGTTCCTCTCTATCCATCATCTGACGCTCCCCATCCGTTACGCTCTGATGCTCGTTGGCCAGACCCATTCGTGCGCCGTCGTCTGCAACCATGGCCCCCAACGCGACTATTTCCGCGTCAATAACGGGCGGGGCACCCGTGTCCTCGTTCGCGTCCCCAACGTGGACCAGGTTGTCCACCTCTTCCGCACTCTCGTTATCACCAGCCGCCAGTTTGTCAAAATACTCTGCGTAGGTGGTCACTATGCCCCTAAAAATGTCCTCTCGCCGGTAGTGGGGTTTTCCAAGAACCCTAAATTTCTCGTCTCGATCATTCTGTAGTAGAATCGAATAAAAATGATCGAGCAGCTTATGCCACTGGTATGCGACATGAGAACCGCTCTCGACCTCCCTCGAGCCGACCATCGGAGTTAGCTTCTACATGAGTGAAAGTGAGCAGGTTAGCACTTGTCCTGATTAGAGTTCCAAAATGAAGCATACGTTTGCACCGTAAACTTACCCCCGCAATGTCGAGCTTCCAGTCGCTCGTAATCCGTCTCCTGATGTCGCGGAATGTTTCCTTCACCTCCGGTTCTAGGCTTGTTTCTCCTCTAGAATACTCCATCAAGAGCTGCACCTCCAGCCTGCTCAACATGTGAGTTTCCGACAAAATAAGTTTCGGCTCTGCCAGACCATCATCAAGCACATATAATGAGCGACAATAGCTGAAACTTACTTGAAAATTTGTAGGGCGAGGTCGCCGTGCTTGTGTGCTGGTGAATTGGACTTGGGGTCGAAATGCAGAAGACTCGTCGCAACCGGAACATTCGGGTGGTCGGCCAGACTGTCGGGCCGGACAAGCAAGAAAAGGCTGCAGCGCGCTCCAGGTTCGGCAGTCATGCTGCATGGGGTGGTGGGCCGAAAGGTTAGCTAGCGTGAAGAAGCTCAAACAATCGAACAACCCACATATTTTCCGAGCAATTAAAAAATGACGCCATGACCCGCAAAGTTCGAACTCACCTCGACCAGAGCGGGAAGACGACGAGTTGCTTGCCAAGCACACCATCGAGTCTGCCAGGACCCATGGGTTTGAAAGGTTGTTTCGCCCTCGCCTCGTTGACTTTACTCATAGGGATGATTTCAACCTTCGAAAGCTGCTCCGCGGTCAGCCTCTCCTTTGCAATCTTCCTGCAAGAGACAACACATGGAGCATTAAAAGAACACGCCAGCGCTACACAACACATCCTTATTCGCGGAAATCCTTCTCGAAACTTCTTGTAAATGTTAGAGATATTAAGTCCTTTCCAAAACAGAGCGCTTTCGTCAGGCAGGAGAGTAGAAGAAACAAGTTCTCGAATGATGCATTGAGGTTAGAGCGTCTAGAGCGGTGTCTGCTCGATCGCTACATGTACTCCTGTCAAAGAGCCTGTGAACCTCGAATTGTGACATCGCTGGCCGAGCATCAATCCTACGAGTGCATCTTACACCATAACAAAGTTGAGCATGTTCTTGGTCCATTCCCCACGCGTGTGTCGCATGTTCTCAAACTCTAAACGTGAGAGGCGCACACGCAAGCCAACAGCCTCTACTTCCATCGAAGGCTCCATTGACTAAGGGAAGAAAGCAAGTAGCTGCGATCAAGAGAAGAGAAGCTGAGAAAAATCTCAAAGAGAAGATGTAAAATGAGAAAATGAGCTCTGTTTGCCCTTTATACCCGGCCCCCTCCGACTTGAGCCTAAACTTTCAGGTCGTGTTCATTCATGTGATCCGAGATGGTTGTGGCGACTAAAAGGTGGCACTTACGGTAATGCCCGAATGAAACATTCAAACCCGTACTGACCCTCCCTCTAAAAGCCCCTCGACTGGGGACAAACCCAATGTTGTACTGCACTCTGAGAATCTGTCAATGACAGATTTCGCCCAATAAACATCCTCCCCACACAAATTTCGAGAGTTATCCTCAGCCGCCACGTGGATGTCAATGATTTCCAGTTCGAATGCATGGAATGTTGGTCGAATTCGATAATTGCCCAAATTCAATCGCCTAATCGCTCTTATACAACTCGAAATTGGGCTACTCGGTTCGTTTCATGTGGCTCGTTGAAAATGTACCTCGTATGCGCCGAACATGAAAGCAGTACCATCTCGGGGAAGTCACGCGTATGTCATACCCACTCTCGAAAATCACCACCCCTTTTTATGCGCTTCTACAATCTACACCTAGGACAATAATGTGTAAACCTTAATCAACCAAGATTGCAAGCATGCCTCCCTAAACACATACAAGTCCCCCAAATCCCACACAATAAAGGACAATGCAGGGAGTCAATCCATGTTTAAGGTACTTGATTCCAACACAACAAAACATATTAAAAAACAGGCAAATATATATATTGGCTTCCACACAACGACGTGAAGTGTAATAGAAGTATAAAGCATCCATTTGACCAAAACCCAAAGATTCAAAACCATAGAAGAACTAGGACACCATGTTAAGGTGTATTGGGGGAGAAAATAATCTAAATCATTGTAAGAGAACACAGCAAATAGATGTTGAGAACCCCTCAAGCAAATCATCAACCTTTTACCCTCTTTTCTCATATTCCATCATTGGTTTGACATGGCATATGTGATGTACAGGGCATTCCAAGCATAACAATATATTGAATGCCAATAAAAAACAAATATAAAAAAGCAATGTTGTCTTGTTGTTTGCCAGAGAATGACTTAGCATGTTCTACTGACTGTCAAATGTTGTAGCCTATAGTGAGGTTTGTCTTAGGGGGTACAAAACTTAGGGTTAGCTATATGTACCCCAACCAACATCAATGCATCATCCATTCCTCATTCTGACATGGTATCAGTTAGGTTAGGATCCTGTGGGATCCCGTTCCTCCGTTCTCCGTTCGTATCTCCCGAGCCTGATCCTACCTCTCGTTCGTACCGGTTCCGTTGTTACCGCGCCTAGTGCCGAGCCTAGCGCCCTTCCCCCCGTCGCCTAGCGCCCTTTCCCCCCCGTCACGTCGCGCCCTTTTCCCCCGTTGCGTCGCGCCCGTTCCCCCCCGTCGAGTCGCGCCCTTTCCCCCCGTCGCGTCGCGCTCTTTCCCCCCGTCGCGTCGCGCCCTTTCCCACCGTCGCGTCGCGCCCTTTCCCCCCGTCACGTCGCCCTGCCCCGTCCCGTTGCCCCTGCCCCGTCCCGTCGCCCTGCCCCGTCCCGTCCCGTCGCCCCGTCCCGTCCCGTCGCCCCTGCCCCGTCCCGTCCCCGTCCCGTCCCGTCGTCCTGATCTCGCCTCGTTTGAGCGCTCTGCTGACTTGATCGCTCACCTCCGCTCGCTCGACGCTAGTTACCGCGCTGCTTGCACTGAGGCACAGCTTGCACTGCTTCCTCCCCCCATGGCGATTACTATCTATTTCATCGCCACTAGCCTCCCTGACCGCCTTGCCTCCGTACGTGACGCGCTCCTGCTGAAGCACCCTAGTGAGCTGACAGTTGAGGTCCTTGAGTCTGCGCTCAAGGACGTCGAGAGCAACCTTCGCTCGGTAGCTGCCGCCTCTGGTGCTGTGCCCCCCCCACTCTTCCACGGGTGCACAGTCCCGCAGTTACCCACCTTCACTGCCTCTCTTGCCACTGCCGCTACTGACGCGACTGCAGCTGCTGTTACGACTGCGTCGCGGTCCCGCGGCAAGGGGGGCAAGAAAGGTGGTTCTGGTGGAGGTGGAGGCGGAGGTAGCGGAGGTAGTGGGGGTGCTGTTGCGACTGGCGGTGGTGGGAGTGCAGCGTCTGGAGAGACCTCTCGTGCAGCGGCTGGTGACTCCACTGCGCCTGCTGGTGGTGGCGACACCCGAGCTCGTCAGTCGTCTCCTGTACTGCCGGCCCCGCTAGGTGGAGCAGCGGCGTGGTACCAGGCTCAGCGTCAGCAGCGGCTTCAGCAGCAGCAGCAGCCCCTCTCCTCCCAGCAGCCTCAGCAGCAGCAGCGTCAGCAGCTGGCTCCGGGGTCGGGGCTGCGTCAGCCCCAGCGTGGTGCTGCTTACCCTCCCTGCACCTATCAGGTTCTGACAGGTCCTCGTCGGGGCCACCCTTGTGGCCGCTTTCACCCCCCTGGTCAGTGCTTTGCTCAGCTCACTGACACGGTCCGGTTGGCCTACGGGGTTGGCGGTCCTGCCCTTGACTGGCTTCCTCTGGTTCAGCGCTACGGCTCCGCTCTGTGGGGCATGTCTGCTGAGCAGTTAGTTGATCTGATTGGTGCTCCTCATGCTATGTATGCTGTTGTTGACTCTAGTGTTTCTGACTCTGCTTACTCTGGTGTTGTTAGCTTAGGTGCTAGCCTTGCTCAGTTGCCTGTTGCTAGTGTAGGTTCTTGTGTAGACTCTAGTCCAGCGGCTACCTCAGAGGACGGTTCGCTGTCGTTCACGCTGGACTCTGGAGCCTCTCACTGCTTCTTTCGTGACAGCACGACACTTACGCCTCTTCCTGCGCCTGTTTCTGTGGCGCTGGCTGATCCCACTTCGGGACCAGTCACCGCGCGTCACACTACCACCTTGCCGTGTCCGGCTGCTCCTTCTGGGTCTCTCACTGGGTTTCACGTCCCCTCGTTCTCCCGGAACTTGGTGGGCGTGCGACCCCTTGTGAGTCAGCACGTGGGTGTGTGGTTTGAGCCTTC